TTTAAATATACAACTTAATGTATTTTAGTAGCATATTAGGCTAAGCTAATAATAAGCTACTCATTTATTGTTGAGGTTATAATATCTATAATAATTTTATCATATCATATATTGTAAAAAAGGTTCACTTTAGGAATATCTAGAAAGATAAGGAAAAGAAGGAGAGTTTAGTGATGAAGAAAAATTGAATATTGCAATCCAAGTAATTGACTCTGTCAATTATATTCATTGTTTTAATATTATTCATAGAGATATTAAACCTGATAATTTTTTGGTTTGTTTGTATGGCAATCAACTTGAAATCAAACTATGTAATTTATCCTGATATTTTTTAATTTTTAAAAATAATTTAATCATTTTAATATTAGGTGATTTTGGATTATCTACTTAACTTGAAAAAAATTGTGAATAAATTGAAATTTTAGATGTAAGTCATTTTAGTTAATATACAATTATCAAGAAGTTTTAATATATTTTTAGATGGTAGGAAATTGGGCGTACATGGCACCTGAAATTTTAACTAAAAATAATGATTAAAATAAGATATACTCTAAAAAAGTAATTATTATTATAACTGCTTCTTAATATATACAAATAAATTTTTGTTTTAAGTCGGATTCTTATTCAGTTGGCTTACTACTATCTTTGCTTGACAATTACTTAATTTTGAAAGAATTAACAGGAGCTACTTTCATGAATATGACTTTAAATTAATATGAAGAGCCTTTCAAAAAATAAAAAATAAAAATTAAGCAAAACACTGAAATATTTAAATTAATTCAATAATTAGTTGTCTGGGAAAGAGTCAACAGGGCTTCTCTTTCTATTATTGTTGAATAGAATTCAAACAAATTCAAATCAAACTAAAATGATATGAAATAAATTATATCATAGCATTATTTAGGTCCTTTATAAAATATTGAGGCTGTAAACATTGGATCTATTGCTCCACTACTTTCGGAAAATTAGATTCAAATTTAGGATATCAAGTAAATATAAATAAAGAGTATGGAGGATTTGCATAAAATTAGTGAATTTCAAAATGTCGAAATAAATTTACGGTAATTATATTAAAATTAATTTAAATTGAAATTAAATTTCCACAAATTATCATTTAAGAATTATAATACAAGATTTAATCAACATTTTATATTTTTTCTAGAAATCATTAATGATTTAATATTAAATAATTTATGATGGATACATCCTTTCTATAAAAAGTTAAAAACTTTTAAATTAAAGATAAAATTATTATCTATTAATACAATCTACAATAAAAAAATATACTTTATTATTTATTTAATAATAAAATCTATTGAGGTGATAAGTAAAATTTACAAAAATATCACAATATTATTATTTTTATAATTATTTATTATAATTCATTTTTTCATTTAAAAAAATCTATGTTTAATAATTCTAATTAAAAGGATAGATATATTTTTTATTAATTAAAAATATTAAAATTGATTAATATAATTTGATAAATATTAAAAAATAACTCACCAATTAAATACTTAATAAAATGAAAATTGGTAAGCAAAAGTTTGATACATCTTTTTTTACCATCTTTTCTCCTCAATATTTATTTATTTAATTCGTTATTTATTCTAATAATTAAAGTTAGAATAAAATAAGTGATGAGGGTGCAAAAGATTTAGGCACAGGAATAGCCTAGTGCAAGAATATCACAACTTTAACTCTTGATTTATAGTAAAATTAAATTTATTGATTGATAAACTAATAATTGAGAATTTATTATTTT